TAGTTGGTGATCGATAACAAGTATGGAACCATAGTACTTAAGAGCTGGGATGTTAGGATTGCTGCCTGGAACTAGGTGGAATTTTATGGAAGTTAGTGGTACAGAGAAATTGGAATTTTGACTAGAACGTTGGTGGTGTTAAGTATATTAATCTGTAGAGATATAGCGTATGTTGAGGGAATTAAGGTATGTATGCTGACAGAAGAAAATATTATATGAAATTTTGAATTATAGTGCATAAATAATTTTGTATGATATTATGTACCAAGCTAATTTGCATTTGGTGTCATGGGGTGATAAGTGAGGTATTGTTCCTCCTTTCAATTAGGACATATACTCTTGTGAATGGATGTGACTAAAAGAAAAATTGTACTCCTTTTTGTAGAACACCATTGCCTGAAGGACATAATTTTACCTTGTTATGTTTTTATTCTGAACCTATCGTATTGCTATCATAAACTTACTGTTAGTAATTAAGGATGAAATGTTTATATGAGGACTAATTCAAGGCTTATTTCTTTATTGTGAAAAAAAAAATGAAAATGATGAGTGATCATTGGAATAAAATTTATGTGATCTCTGTTATTTAGAGATGTCATACCATCCATTAAATTCAGTATTTCCGACATAGATGAATAATATGTGATTTTGCGTGTGATGGGTAAATATCGACCATACACCTAAGCGAATTGTTTATGACTTCTAGAATTCTATGCCCTTTGTATGGAACTAATGTGGTAGATACCCACTTTAGAGTCTTTTATTGCTGATTTATGACTTATACATGAACGTTGGGCTAACTACTGCAAGGAAATTGGTAGGCCAATATTATGTATTAAGAATTTCTATGGATCTGATTTAATGTTTTTCATATAGAGTATGAGAATGTATGATAAGTTAATATTGTTATCATGCCTCAATGAGTTAATTGTGGCTTACAATGAATGGAACCAATATTTGGATTAAATGCGATGCTCAGCCTACTTTGAAGCTATTGGAACCAGAACATAGTAGTTTTATGGTTAATACGTTTTGTGTTTGATGTCATGAAGTTGACTTTAAGACCCTCTAAGTAGACGTTAATTTTAGTGGTTGTTATTTTGATATAAGTTAGAAATTATGACAATTGGGGGTGCTCTGTATTTGATTTTACTAATAATTTATGTTTGGAAAGAGAAATCATGACGTCCAATCTGAAGGTAATCTCTTGTAACGGGATTTGGGTTGCTATTTGGAGTCTGTTAGAAATCCGATTCGAACTGATGAGTTTAATTCTGGTTATTTGGGCTTCCAGTAAAGTTAAGGACTGGACTTACTAAGACCATTGTTATGAAGACTTAACTTATTAGTGAGCAAGAGCCATAAAGTCGTTAATTTAGAACTTACTTGTTTATTCTGGGTTTAATTGTTGCAGAATGCTTGTGCCATTTGAAATACGATTAAGTAGTGTATATTTCTTTAATCTTTGAAGAATTATGGGGTATGTTTGGTTTATGTTTGAGAGATGTATTTTAAAGATAAAAAGTATGAAAAGTTGTTTGGTTTGGTTTTTTTCAAAAGATGTTTTGGAAAATTATTTTGAGAAAGAGTTTTGGAAAAAGTGATTGATTTGATGTGTGTGAGAGAGAGATTTGTTTGAAAAACTTGTTTGGTTTACAAGTTTTGAGAAATTTTTTTGAGAAAATTTGTTTGGTTTGATTACTTTTAAAAACTTATTTGTAGAGAAAATTTCTCAAAATTTTTTCAGAAATACAAACCAAACGAACCCATGATATTTGGGATTGTTATGAAACTAAAGAATTTGAATCATGATTGATAGCTTATAAGATGCTCACATTCGAATACTTCACAAATACCCTTGAGGTTATGTTACGATTTGGAGTATATAACTTATGACTTACGGATTAATAACTTAAAATGTACGAGGGTTGTGAATAATAAGATCATATTTGATGTTACTGAGCATTATTATCAATTGGGTTACCAATTAGCCAGTAATGACGAATTAATTGTGACTCTTGGAACAAACTTCATTGGAATTGATTGTATAGGATTATGAACTGTTCAATAATTGAGGGATGCTGTATATCCAAGGCGAAACTGGTCTACAGTGGAAGATTGGGATTCATGAACCGGACTTGTGTCAGATGAATCAAGTTTGGAGGACCAAACTTCTTAAGGTGGGGAGAATGTAACGACCCCAAAATGCGTATGAGAAGCTATCATTATTTACATATGGGTTAATATGCTTTAATTTAATTATATCTGTTCTAATTGAAGAATTATCTGTTGAGTTATGACTTTAAAACCCGAATTGGTGACCTTTATGGGTTCGGAAATCACATTTAGTACTTGGATATGTTAGTGGGAATTTTTAGAGCTACTTGGGAAAATTAATTGGAAATTTAATTCGTCTGATTCGTTAATGCACATTTGGGTGGTTAACTTTGTATTGCAAATTGAAGGCCTTAGAGGTTTCAGAAACCATAATAGAGGACATATTTATGATTAGCATAATTTTTAGAGTCATATGGGAAGTTTAATTGGAATTTGATTTTGTGCGATTCGTAATGGTGCGTTTGGCTACCCCTATTTGTGATAAGCTTATGTGTGTGATATATATATATATAAATATATAAATATATGAGTTGTTGAACTCATCACGTTGGGTCAAAAATATCTAAGGGAGAGAGAAAGAGAACCGTAAGAGAACCGTGAGAGAGAAGGAGAGAAGGAAAGGCAAAGTTCCTCTAAGAGAAAACTCAACATCCATGGGGATTTGAAGATGATTGAAGAGAATTAAAGAGAGAGGAAGAAGATCAACCATAAAGCTTGGAAAATTGAAGAGATCAAGGGGAAAAGGAAAGATTTAAGATGAGGTATGTGGCTTTAGTCATCATCTTTGTAGATAACTCCTCTACCACAAAGAAACAAGGATTAAATGGAGGATTTATTATGTAAATGAATTAGAGTCTTGGGTTATGAATGAAATGAACTCTCTTCATAAAATTGAACCTTGATTCCTTAGAATTGCTTGATTGAAGAGTTAAATTCATTATATTTGCTTATCTTGAGCTTGATTATGAGAAGTTGAGCCCAATCTTGAGGTTTTGCATGGTTAATTATATATAAATAGAGATTTATGTAAATATGGAAGAAGAAGTCTTGGAAAAGAACTAAATTAAGAGATTGATCTTCCTTACTTGGATCTTTATTGTATTTTAATGTTTTGATTTAGAAAACAATTATGATTTCATGTTTTCCATTAGTTTTATATGTTTTTGGGTGATTTGAGTTGGAAACACAGCTTAGAAATGGAAGAAACAAGAGTTAGAGCAAACAACATTTTCGGACAGGAAAACTGACCCAGAGCCACACGTGCGGCGGGTCTTCCCGTACGTGCGGCAATCCATTTCCAAATTTTGCTAAAAAATCACGTGGTCCCACACGTGCGGCCCTGTTTCCCGCACGTGCGGGGATAACTTTGTTCAGCCAACTTCAAATAAGCATATCTTCCACATCCGAACTCCGTTTTGAGAGATTCTTGAGCCTAAATTCAATCCTCGGAAGTCTAGTTTCCAATGGTGGTGGGCTCACTCTCAAATTCTTTGTATACAAATAGATATGCCCAAAATAGTGAAAGTTGTTCACTTTCTGTTTACCGGTTTTGTACCGTTTCTTCATCTAAGCCATTTCCCTATCGATTCCTCATATTTTCTGAGACATGGATTATGACCTATTAAGGAGTAATGAGTTTATAACCGATATGAATAATTGATTAAAAAGTAAAGGAAGAGATTGATTATATCCTCATATTATGCTGTGTGCATTGTGTTGTAGGTCGAGACGAGGACATCTGTGTATGGTTTGATATGCATATTTACATTCTCTAAGACTATGCTCGTTTAACTAACCTCCTCACATTGCTATTATTCACTGAGCCTTGCTCACTCCGTTTTATGTATATTTATGTAGGTGAGCCATTGGGAACCGACACTAGAATTGTATGAGATCTATCTGTTTGCCAAGCCGCCTAGGGTATGCCTCCGTGTTGAGGCCTTAATTTTGATTACTGGGAGTTATGTAATTTATGAGTCTTATGTAAGTGTGTGTGAGATCTACATAAATTATGTGATTGTATATGTAAATATGGAAGTGTACTTAAATGCTTAAATTTATTTATTTCATCATGTATGGACAAGCTCAATGGACGTTATCTTTATATTGATATTTGCTTTCGCTTAAGGCCCCGTATTTGAATAAGTATTCGTAAAATATTTTGTTGAGGCCTATGTACAGGCCGGTCATGGAACAAGCTTTTAGGGGCGGGTTTGGGTCCTGACAGTTCAGGTTTGAAGGGTCGTCTGGATCGGAACTAGGTGCAGTCACCAGTTCTACCGATCTGAGCAGCTGGTCCGGTCTGGGTTTGAAAACATTGGAGATAGAGAGATAGAGAGAGAAGAATGTGTAAATGTTGAAAGTTAATGTGGCTAATAAATTTAACACGTAAAAGCTCTATTGTGTCAACTGTTCCACTTAGCGTTACTTTGACCTAAACTTAAGGATTAAAAATGTAGAAAATAATTATAAGAATTATTAGCCTATAATTTGTTTGAACATCTCCATTGAACTTGCTCCTGCTCATGGACAGAAACCATCTATTCCAAGAAACATTAAAAGAGTCAACCTTTAGAGGCTGCAACGTAAGTAATTATTCACAATAACCTTCTCATCAAAATATACTCATCTTGCAAGTAAGTGCCTTTTCTCAAATTTGGAAGGGATGGGGGCTAGATTTTGGAATAATAGTATCTACTTGGACAAAATGTATCTTATATCTCACAACAAAAAGATTAAAGAGAACATATAATAATTGTGAGAATCAACCAGCAAATACTAATATTTTCCCACAAAATGCAGCTAGAAATGACAATATAAAAGGTTTGATGGATAATCTAAACAAAATAGGGAGCACTGCAAAAGTGGAATGACATACATACCCCAGCAAGCCATGGCCCTGCCACGCTCTAGGTGTGACTGTTAAGTGGATAAGTGCACCTTGCCTCAAAACCACTACAGGTATTTCACACTCTAGATGTACCAACATTAGCAGATAAGTCTTGATTATTTGACCCTTCAACGTTACCTTACAAATATAAGAAGAAAAACAGTCAATTAGTTGCACATAAAATTCAAATTTTAACTACATATCCAAAAAAAAAAAAAAAAAATCCTTTCTAAAACCTGTAACGATCAAGTATTTCAAAACTTGACTCAAGAACATTAATACCATGGCTTAGAACCCTTCAAAACACACTAAAAAAAGGGGTCCCTTCTTATTATAATTTAGTGTAATATATTAGGTATATTTTAAGTTCAAAAAAAAATTAAAGAAGGCCCAAACTAACTTAAAATAAATTGACTCATTGAAAAATTAAAGGACCCATTCAAAATTAAAAAGGCCCACTCTCTCTCTATCTAATACCTAATCCTAACTTTATTGACATGAATCTTTTACTCTTTACCTTTAAAAAAAATTTTGGTTGAATAAAAAAAAAATGTGAAAAGTCCCAAATGATCTAGTGATATTTATTAGTTCATTATTGGCTTTGGATCCCGAAAATCTCAGGGTCGGGCCTGTATATATGGTATGCACGTCATAACTTTTTTTAAAAAATTCGTAACATAAACCACAAAATGTCATAATTCTATCACCAAAAAAGTTATAATTTACAAAGTGTTATGACTTTACCATTCATAACTATAGGGTGGACATCATAAATTTATTATTCATAATTTTACCAAAGAATATCATAACACACGCTACAAACATTCATAAGTTTCATCACAAAAATTATAGCGATCCCGGTTTTGCCTCGACCTTCATTGTGTTCCGGACTCGGGTTCCGTGACTGAATATCGTATCTATGTCTTATTTTCTTCCATTGACCCTTTGTATTTGAGTTTTGGAACTTGTTGGGCGAGTTTGGAACAGGTTGGTTGTTAGTGGGTATAGATTGTTGTTGCCCAGATTTTGGCCTCTTCGCTCGAGCGAGCCTTGTGTAATTTGCTCCTTCGCTCGAGCGAGTTTTTTTGCACTCGAACGAGAGTAGAGGGTCCTCAGGTTTTTTTCCCAAACGTAGCTTTTATGGGAACGTGGAGTTCTTCGCTCAAGCGAGGCTTCTTGCGCTCAAGCGAGTCTTGTGAAATTGCTTCTTCGCTCGAGCAGGACTTCTTGCGCTCAAACGAGTGTGTGCGTCTGTCGCAGACCTGAAGCTTTGCATTCTGCGCGCGAGCGACACTTCTTGCGCTCGAGCGAGGTCACTTGTGTGTCTGATCGCTCGAGCGAAGGTCGCATATATCAGTTCGCAGCAGCGATATTTTGTATCACTTTTGGCCCCTTTTCTCACACAAAACCCTACCTCAGCTTCTTCTCTCTCTAAAATACTCTCTCTCTCTATAAATACACCTTGATTTGGGGGTATCTCAACCCTTGTCCCTTTATTAAAAAGATTGAGCATCTTGTGAGTTTCCATTTGATCCAAGAAAGTTTAAGTTTTGGGCATCTTCAAGTTTCTCCTTCTCTCTTTTGAGCTTCAACACTTGAGGTAGGGATATTTTACACCTTGTTATGATGTTTAACCTATGTATTTGTCATTTTGAATATATGAAGGAATTTGGGAGGATTTAAGAGAAACTAGGGTTTGAGTTTGAATTTTGAATGACAGGTTTTCTACTTTGGGCTCCATATATGTATGTGAGGTCTTGAACATGATGATTCTTGGGTATAATTGGTGAGATTGGGTCTTAGGTATGATATTGGGAAAAAGAGGAAAGTTTTTCCCTAATTTGTGTTAAAAAACTATTTTGAATAAATAATGAAATTGATGTGGGAAATATGAAATTGGAAGGATGTATAATTGAATGGTGTAGTTAGATTTGTTGAATCACTCACCTATGGAAATTTGATAAATTATCTGTTTGATGGATTGTATATCTATTTAGAAATATATGGTTTGGGCTATCGGTGAAGGATGGCTATGATTGTTGTAGAAACTGCATGAGGATTAGGTAAATTGAAACTAATCATTTGAATTATGTCATTGAATATGACGGTTTGATTAAACTATTGAATATGTGATTTGTTTAGTCATTGCATATGATATGTCTTTAAATACATTGTATATGTATCTTTGTTTGGGAGGAGATAGGGGATGGACTCCATTTAAAATGAAGTTAGCCGGAATGTCTAGGGTGAAAGTCCCGAAATCTTGTGTATATGGGTGCCGATTCCCTCAGATGAGAATTTCGTAAAATGGCAAAGATAGAAGTGTTGGAGTGATGAATATATTAGTTGGTGAATCATTGAGTTGTAGTCTCAATTTGGGTTGATTTGATAATAATGATTTTTATTCATAAATTTAATGGAAATAGATTGAAATGTTAATGTCAATATCGGGTGGTCATGGATGGTATGTAAATTGGTCGCGAATGTTAAGCATTTAACTGATGCATATATCTTAGTTAAACTTCATATATTGTGTTAGTATATCTCTGCTGAGCTTTGGCTCATCCTACTTGGGAAACCATTTTCAGGTACAGGTGACATGTCCACCTCCAAGGACGTAGCTTGGGAGGATTAGGAGCTAAAGACTCCTTTTTGTTATTTTACTTTGTGCTAAATGTTTACTTCAAGTCAAGGGCTTTATATGTATAGGGTTTAGAAATCTTTTTGTTGTAACCAAGTTATCTCTTGGAAAGATGTAAGCTCGTAGGGCATTTATTTTGTTGTTACCAAATTAGAGTTATATGCTATAGTTTCAAAATGAACATTCATGAAAGTGTAATGCATGTAATATTTTTTTTGTAATGTAGACTCTGATGAATGAAAATATAACATTTCTATTATGTTTGTAGATCTTACGTATGGTTGATTTATATCGTATTTTGAGGGCGTTACACTTGGTATCAAAGCGTACCGGGTTTGAATAATTTGGGTACGTAGGAAGTGGTTAGTACCACAATGGGTTTGTCTCGCTTGTTAGAGACTTAGGTGTGATGTTACGTGCTTATATGATAACATGTTTATGTGATTATGTTAGTATGGGATTTAATTTCTAAGATGTTGATCGGGTCCATGGGTTTCTGGGAGTCCTGTTGGAAAGGCACTTGATCACTGCCGTTTCTAACTGGAACTCTAGCAACGCCACAGAACGGTCATTATCTGGAAATGAAATCCGTATGTGTTTAAGTGATTATGTGCTTATATGGAGTGAAATACAGTTGTCCATCGTATTAGGACGTGAGTGAGATAGTTTCGGCACATTTGTAAATGTGCTAATCTCTTTTGTTATCTTTATTAGGATGTCAGGACGAAGTCGTGGTAGGCCTAGGAGGCATGAGCTGCCTATACCGGATGAAATTCCGGCGCAGGAAGAGGGAATTGGTTAGGCCAACGTGGCCGAGCCAGTAAGTCAACAGGCCATAGGCGCCTTAGCCCGTGAAATGGTAGGCGCATTGAGGGAATCCATGGACATTCTCCGGGTTGAGAACCAAGTCTAAGCCCAAGTAACTGAAGCAGGGCCGTCTTTTTTGAAGAGGGAGTTCTTCCGGTCTAATCCGGATGAGTTTTTGGGAGATCCTAAGGAGCCACTGAAGACTAATGAGTGGTTTGAGTAGATGGTGAAGATGTTCGAGATGCTTGGCATCGAAAACGGAGGTTTGAAGGTGACCTTGGTGTCCTTCCAGCTGAAGGGAGACACGGGTCAGTGGTGGAAGTATGCACGGGGGCGTATTGGAAGAACTTGGGAAACTTTTGTTGATGCCTTTCAGGATAAGTACTTACCGGCTACGGTGAGGGAGAAGTTGAGGGATCAATTTTCTCAGCTTAAATAGTTGAACATGCCTGTAGCTGAGTTTGAAGCCACATTCACTAGTTTGTCGAGATTTGCACCAGAGTCAGTGGTGACAGAGGAGCGTCGTTGTTTGGAGTTCGAGAAGAAATTACAGATCGGGCTCATGTTTCGAGTGGCCGGATCTATGATTAGGGAGTGTGGGTGCCTTGTGAAGGCTACAGTCCATCTTGAGACTATCATGCATGTAGATGAAGAGAGGATGAGGGACTCTAGGAGGAGTCAGGATGGCCAGGGGGACAGTAAGAGGCAGAGGGGTTCTAATCCCCAGCAGTCCCAGGGAGCGAATTTGAGGTCTACTTTTTCAGTGCCAAGTTCGGGTTCTAGAAGAGGTGGTCAGGGAGACATCACTTGTTTCAAGTGTGGCCAGTTGGGCCACAAGTCTCTAGTTTTCCCACAGAAGGGAGGAGGGCAGCGAGCAGCATCATCATCAGCCCGTTCTTAGGGCCAGAGTCAGGATAAAGGCCAGCCGCTCACTTGTTATCGGTGTGGGCAGGCAGGGCACCTGAAGAGGTTTTGCCCACAGTTGGATGGCATACCTGATGCGTTTGGTTCGAGGCAGACATAGAGTCACCAGCTAGCTCAGTCAATGCAGGCCTCGAGGGTCAATCAGGTAGCCTCTTCGGCTTAGTCGGTGCAACAGTCTTATGCTCCGAAAGGTGAGCAGGTTGATCAGAGGCCTACGGGACGCGTGTACGCTATTACAGCGCCAGATCTTGTACCGACTCCATCAGTAGTGAGAGGTACCTTTTTGTTTTACAATTCGGTTACTAATGTGTTGATTGATATGGATACATCCCATTCCTTTATTTCTTCTGCATTTGCATCAGTTTTGGGGTTGGAGTTGGCACAGTTAGCATCTCCTATATGTGTTGTGTCACCTATTGGGGGTGAGATGGTTTTGAAATAGGGGTGTTGGGGTTGTGATATAGAGGTTGCCGATCGCCGGCTCCCTTTTTCTTTTGTATTGATGGACATGTCTGGTTTTGATGTTATTTTGGGTATAGACTGGTTATCATCATGCCAGGCTATTATAGATTGCTACCGTTAGAGGGTTACTGTATGTACCTTGAGTGGTGATTGTTTTCATTTCTTGGGGGATCGGGTTGGTAGAGTTTTACGATCGGTGTATGATCCACGGGAGCGGAGTGAACTTAGTTGTCTCCTTGCTAGCTTTTTGAGTAGTGAGTGTGATGAAATTCGAGTTGAGTTGCCAAGAGTGGTCTGTGAATACTCGGATGTTTTTCCCGAGGATCTTGTTAATTT